AGCCTGAGTCAGGCTGGCCCCATGTCTGCCCATCTCCACCACGCTGGTTCCTCAGCGCAAAGCAGGACATTTCTACCTCGTGGTGAAACTCTGAACAGAGTGGCCACAAGACCTGCCTTTCTCAACATGACTCAGCACAGGGCACAAGCACGGGGCGAAGTGGTGGAGAGCAGGTCTGTGCCCCGTCCTGTCTTCTGCCACTGTGCGCCATGCTGTGCGCTCTGTTACCGTGGAGAAACTGTGACAGGTGACTGTCATGTCAACTGGAGTAAGAAATGCCCAAGTGATAGGATTGGCACAGTTCTGGGCTGGACACTGAATGATTTACTAAAGACAGACCAACCTGGGGTGTGAGTGGCACCCACTGTTGGGCTTGTAGCCCGAATGTATTTTTAAAAGGGCACAACAAGGAAGGCTTGCTTCTGTGCTTGGAGGAGCTAGTGTCTTCCTTTGCCTTGGAAGTCTGTCTCCTGGCTCCCGGCAGAACCCTTCCTCGGACTTCCATCACAGTCCCTGCAACCTCCTGTGACGGACGCAAAAAGGACTGCAGTGAGTTCCAGCCTTTGACTCCTGACTGGATCCTTCGGATCTCCAGTGTGAGAACAGCCCTCTACCACGCCCAACTCTGCAGGCGGCACAGTACGCCTACCTTACGAATTCTCGTGTATTTACACCTTACGTTACACCTGCTTCTCTAGTGACTGATGACTGACCCAGTGACACTCTAAGATGCGTTTCCCGTTCTCTGTGTCACACAGGCAGGGATGAAGGGATGGAAGGTGGAAGTGCCACCAGGTTTCCTGAGACAGGAGAAGTGGGTGGTTGCAGCACAGACTGCCTTCTCTAGGTCCCTGCTTGCGAGTTATGACTTCCAGCCCTTCTGTCAACTTCACTGGCCCTCTGGGTATGATCTTGGTATCTGGTTCCTGCTCCCTTCTGCTCTGGAACTGTCTCCCTGCTCTGCTTCTCCGTTGCCAGGGAGCTTTGTTTCACCATGCCCTTCCACCACGATGCCCCACCTTGGACCCAGCAGGCTGCTGACTGAACCCTCCGAAGTCATGAGCCAAACTAAGCCTCCTTTAAGTGGTGAGTGTTCCAGTGACAGAAAAGCTAACATTCCTTCCCACTGAGAAGGGACCTGCTCCCCTGCCAGGGTCCAGCGTTGGGAAATGTGCCCTATGGCAGTGCTCACCATGTCACCACTGGGGGGGGGGTGCTGCTGCCTCCTGGCTCACTTGCTCAGAAAGGCCAGTATCTCACAAGAGTTGGCATGCCCCCGGAGAGGTGTGGCCCACCATGCACTGCAGGCGCTTTTTGGCTGGGAATCAGGACCGACTGCTGTGCAAGGATTACCAATAGGTTTACTCAGAACAAAAACAGTTGTGAATGCTGGCCACGGAGACAGTCATGCATTCATCCAGGACCTGCTACTGCCCTACCCCACGCTGTGTGTTCTGCTGCAGTGGAGAAACTGGCGACTAAAGCCCATCAGCACCTCTTCCTTTACACCTCTGGAAAGGAGGCCTGGCCAGGGAAGGTTGCTGTGCTGAGGCTCCTGTAGAAGTGACCGGACCACCCTCCTAACAGGCCCCAGAATGCCTGTGTAGAAGGATTGTTCTGCTCGCTCAGACTCTGCTCGGAGAGTGTGTTCAGTCAGATATCCCTGCCTCCTGGTGCTTGACTTTACCTCGATGTGAAAGGGACAGATATTGTGCAGAAACTACACCTGGACTTTTGGATTCAGCCCTTCCCCAGGGCAGCAAAACGCAGTCTGACCCTCTCTGGCAAGGCTAAGCAGCAGCAGCCCCCGACTCTGAGAGAAATAGGGGTGCCGAGCCAGAGTCCTCGGGACAGGCAGTTACAGCTCACAGTGGTGTGCACAGATGTTACCTCTTGTCAGTGCAGGAGTCCCTGGAGGGCCTGTGCTTTTTCACTGAGTCACACCCAGCCCCAAATGCCATCTCCCCAGGACCCAGTGGGAAATGTTTGGGGTCAGCTTCAAGCTCCCCCTGAGAAGTCCTGAATTTTATCCCTAAGTCTTAGCAAGGATGACTCCATGGTACCAGGGAGTTCCAGAAACTAGTATTCTTGATTGGGTCCAGAATGTGCCAGACAGTGTACTAACATCTGGGGGACACATGGCATCACCTGCTCACTGCTCTCAGCTTCTGAGTCACCCACAGAAAGAGGCCCACCGGCCAAAGTATGCACCTATCAGTATTAATTTAAAGGGTTTCTGGGCCTCGATGAGGATTTTATATTAAAAATTCTACCTGACACAATCACTTCTTTGGAGTTACTTTTTGTTTTTACCTTTTAAGATTGTGTTTGAAGTTATTAAAAAATAATAGTGACTAAAGTGTTTTCAAGCATTTCCAGGTGTTTGTTCAATTTTAAATCCTAGTTCCAAACTTTGTACCTTCATCGTTTTAATTAGGCACAAAGCTAAAAAAGAATACAAGCTACTTGAAAACTTTATCAATTTTTTATATTTCTTCCAAGGTTTGGCATCATAAGATAAGGTCTTAGGCACCTTTGTGCCTAAAAAGAGTTAATTTTTCCTAGAGATTTCCTTAAGACAGATGACACCTAAGAATTACTGGATCAACATTTACAGTGGTTTGTAAGTTGTCAGTTTTCAATTACTATAACAAATACCTGAAAGAAAAAAAAAAAAACCCTTACAGAGAAAAGCATTTTCAAGGTCACACCCTGGAGGTCTCATGTGCATGGGCAGCTGGCCCCACTGCTTTGGCTGCATGAGGAGTCCAGACATGTGACAGAGTTAAACAGCTCAGCTCATGGCCAGGGAACAAAAGAGATAAAAAGGGCAGACTGGGGCCCAGTCTTCTCCAAGGGCACGCTGGCAGCGGGCTGGAGACTTTCCACGGGGCCGCAGGTGCCACGGCAAGACATGTGAGCCTTCCCCACGTGAGGCCGGGGGACACTCACGCTCCCAACAGCACCAGGCTTGACTGGAGTGGCCCAGTGCCACCAAAATGCCCCACGATGGGGTACGGCATCAGAACACCACTCGCGTGTGACTGTGGTTTCTCCAGGAGTTGGAACTGCTCTTTTCCCATCTTTGCTAAATCAATACAATGCTGCTGCCTTGAGCGATAGCTCTATCTCATTGAAATTCATCCAATTTTGCAGAGCAACTCTCTTTTACTTCCCAAATGTTGTACCGACTGAAGAAGAAACTCATTAGCAACTTCTTCTCAAACACCCATGGGTGCCGACAAATCGCTCTTGTTCTCACCTCTCATCTCTCAGGGCTTCCTTTCGGGTGGGCAGGACACTCAGGAAAGACACTAAAAAGGCTACTGCAGTGTAACTGCCTGTCTTCCAGTGTCTAAGTCCAATATATTCAACCAGCACATCACTGGGCTCGGAACTCAGCTCTGGCTGCTGCCCCTGTGCTAGCCGTGGATCTGGGCTATGAAGCCACAGCGCCGCCTCTTGCTGGGCGTTTGTGGTCATGGTGCCACCTGTCTGGCAGGGCCGGGGGAGGACTGAAGTTCATGTCTGTGCTTGGCAGAGGCCTCTCTCCTACCTACTCCTATTCTGGTTTGTTTTCATCTTTAGTTCTTTTTTCTTTTTGCAGTCCTGCGATTGAGCCCGGGGCCTCACCAGTGTTAGGGAAGCACTCCAGCACTGAGCTTGCCCCACACCCCGCTCCTCTCAGTTCTAAACAATGATCCTGCTCCTGACTCCTCTGCAGCAGGGATGCACCAGAGGTTGGCGCTCTTGTGCCTTCTAGAAATAAAACTGCATGCTTCACATTGTATCTTTAGGTTGTGGGGCCTAACCAGGATCCCTTGGTGATAATAATCAGGACCACAATCCACTGGGGACCAGGTTTTTATCTTATGAGCAAGATAGATTCGGACAGTAACTGTGTCAGTAAAGGGCGCCAGCCGTTGGGTCCCCAGGATGCTTCAGGGCCTGAGCCTCTGTCTTACAGGGGGCCGAGACACACATGGTTTCTTAACGTTTCCTCTTGCACCACCATGGCCGGGGTGGTACTGTCAACTCTGGCACCGTCTCCCAGCTTTCCCACGTTTCCCTGCCTGAGAGGGCACAGCTCGAGGACACCGATCCCATGTCCACGAGTCAGTCCACGGGGAAAACTCGCTGAGGCTCCCCAGAAGGGGAAGCCAGGCACGAGGAACTCCTTGTGGTGCTGCCTGTGGGAGGGGCTCGCTCACCCTGGCTCCTGCTTAAAGGCGAGTCTGGGACAGCACATGCCACAGTGTCCTCCAGGACACGTGTTAGGTACACAATCTCCAAAGGAGAAGGCATTGGTGTTAGGTCCACTATGATTTTATCTTTGAAATGTAAAATTTACTGTGAAAAACTGTAGCAAGAGAAATTCCATTAATACCTACATAAATGCATGTGCTTTTTAAAAGAAGTTGATTTTAGTGGGTTTTAAATAATTTTGAAAATATTTTTCTGAAGCCTACTGAAGCCCACCATGGAAACTTTGAAAAGCTATAAAGGAGCCTTTCTCCTTGGTCAATGTATCGATTTACTAAAGAACAATGAATAATTCAGAGAAAAACTGACTAATGAATATTTTAGATTTGAAATATAAAATTTAACCTCAGCCCTGAAACGTACTCAAAGTATATAAAAATGGGTTTTAAAACTTGAAAACCTTGTATAACTCCAACAAAGAAGGTTCTTCTCAGTTTCCCAAAAAGACATTTTTGTAAAGTAAGTTTTCCCTATATTGCATGATCACTAACTCCAAAAGTGCACATAACTAAACTAACACCTGTGCTTTTACGGCAACCCAAGGGACGACTCTATAGGAGCAGCAGTGCAGAGGTCACAGGGCACACAGGTGCACACGCATGCACATATGCACACACACTTATTTCTGAACCCATCTCAGGACCAGCGTGTCCCTAGGCCCCTGGGGCCAGCCAGGTCCCAGTCCGTCCTGTGGCCTCACGCCTGCCCAGCCCCAGCGCCAGCCCGGGCTCACTCACCGCATGGTGTAGAGCAGCGTGCCATCGTCCTCCAGCCGCAGCAGCTTGTTGGGTGTGGTCATGTTGTGCGCGATAGACTTCTTCCCGTTGTGGAAGAAGGTGTCCGGGGTCCAGATCTTGCTGGCAAGCAGGTTGTTGAGGGGGAGGCGCTGCATGGGGCCCTTGAACCGCAGCCTCTCGTCCTTCCAGCTCTGCCGGAAGAACACGTCGATGGTGTATTCCTAACGCACAGGGAGGCAACACCTGAGTCGGAGGGCCCGTGGCCACGCCGAATGGCCTTTTGGAGTGATTCCCGTGGGCCACCCAGCACCTACCATCTCTGTGTCTGACACCGGGCCGAAGCTGGTGACGTAGATGTCCGTCCGCACCTGCGTGATCCGCTCTGAAACACACGCACTGGTTACCACGTGCCTGCGACATGCTTAGGCCACCAGCCAGCTGGGGCACTGGGATGGGCCTGATAAGTTTGGAGGACTTGATCCCGAACCCAGTGGAACCAAGCTGCTCCACCTATAACCTACATAAAGCACGGTCAGTTAAGGAAAGAGACGAGGCTCCCTCTAGGCTTGAGTCAGTGCTGGCCATGGGAAGAACAGCCAAGCTTCAGGTTTTCTTTTGCACTGTGAGTGGAACTTAGACCTGGTGCTTGCCAGGCAGGTGCTCATGCCGCTGAGCTATACCCCCGGCCAAGCTTCAGCTTCCCTCTCTGCCAGCCTACCGTGCTCAGCTGTGCCCTCCCACAAACAGGCCTGGAAGAGGTGGACAGCTCAGGATGAGAGAGGCCCATGTGGGAGGGTCTATAACAGAACTGCAGTCACGGGGCTGGGATGTGGCTTGGTGACTGCATGGTTACCTAGCACGCATATGGTGCTGGGTCCAATTCCCAACACACCAAAAAGCAAAACCAAAACCTGGTGATTCTGTGTGTCCTCTGGGAAAGAACCCTTAAAAACATGTCCTCAGTGTGTGTGCTTTAGGAGTGGTGGAGAAGAAAGAGCCTCTTCTCCGTTATGTCATTTTAAGCTGTTAGAAATTGCTATTATGGGAGACTGCTATTTGAATTCAAATTACTAGAAATATATAAAAGGTAAAAGTGGCCAATACTTCAGGTGAGGGAAATTTTGTTGGACATCATTGAAGTCTCGGAACTCTTTGTGTTCTTGTGTAGAGACCATCTCCAGAATATAGGGACAGCTACACTGAGTGACCCTGAGCCACCTGCTGGTGGTGTCCTGGGCACAGCACTCAGCCAGTCTCATGTCCTGGAGCCTCCCGTGGGGCCACTGTCTAACCTGCCCCGGGCATGTCTGTACACCTGAAGCCATGTGTCTGCTGTGGTGGGCTCTGGGAGCCCTGCGATGCGGGTGCCCAGCAGGCTGTCTGCTGTATCACAGGGCTGTGAGGCAGCTCCCTGCGTGACAGGAGTGTGTGAGAGCGAGGCAGACCCCCACACCAGGACCCTTCTGTGTGCACATCTGCAAACAGGAATAGTGGGAGGGGGGAGTGAGGCGTGCTGAGGAGCCTAGGGGAACTGTTCTGGCTGAAAGACACAGAATGGCAATTTGTGCTGTAAAAGAACCACTGTGTTAAAAATGCAAACATAAGAAAATCACTTGACCTGTATTTGCGAGGCAGGTCAAACGCTCCATACCTACACTGCACCCTGGAGCTCACGGAGCTTGCAGCACCAAGGTAAGCCACACCTGCCTGCTGTGCTCTGCAAGCACCAGCTCCATCAGTTTATTTTCCCACTTTTTTTTTTTTTTTTTGTTTTTATTGGTACCAGGGATCGAACTCATGACCGCACACTTGCACGGAAGGCAGGCACTTATGCTGCTGAGCTAAATCCCCAGCCCCTATCATTTATTTTTTATCAACTTCCACAAGGACAGTGGGCTTTGCTGCCCTTTCTCCATCACCCTTTTTACTCACTGTGAGCAAGCCCTGAAAATATTCCACTGAAAATTCTAGAAGTCATTAGTTCAAAGCTGTCTTACAGTACAGGAAGTCCCTGGCTTAGGAACATGTGAGTGGCAATATTTCACAGGTGGGAGCAGACCTCGCATTGGGAATGTTGGCAGATGTGCATCTGTGCTTCTGTGCCTGCCAGACACTGTCACAGTTGTGCTGCTGGTGCTTACTGCGCTTATAACAATTGCTTATTTACAGCATTTGTGTGTGTTTGGCCTCTTGGTGCTTTACTTTATATACTTGTGTCAAAGATTTATCAGACTCACTTTGCTGGTCTTAGGAATGAATCAGATTTAGGAATATTCTCCTGGAATGGAACTCGTGTTAAGCCAGAGATTTACCCTGTGGTGTTAGAATTTTTCTACTTTACTGTTAATTATTGTTAGTCGCTTGCTGTGCCTGGTTTATAAAGTAGGGTTTATCATCGTTGGGCATGTAGAAGACAAAATAGCAAAGGTAGATTTGTGCATGACACCTGCACAGCCCCTGCAGCTAAAGGCTGACTACTGTACTCAGTGCATCTGTGGCCATAGCGGAAAGTTAACCATGACTGTTACAGGTACAAAGGACTGTGGCATCAAACCATGCCCATCTAAGAAATGATCTGCGTGAATACAACAATATAAGATTAATTCCATATTACCCCCTAACATTGCGTACTATCAGCTCTAATCTGCCTAAGAGCTGGTTCCTCTGTAAATGAGCCAGAACCGATGTCAAGATTATTTGGGTGTTGCATTATTTGGGATACTTTAGGGAGACCACTTCCCCCAAGCTCACTGCCATGGGAAAATGGTGAAGGATGCAGGGCTCGTGCCAGGCACGGAGCGGCAGCAGCTCCTCGTCCTGGCGGCACAGCCCTTCCAGGGAGGTCTGAGTCACGGCATCCGAGAGCCCTGGCTCCCGCTGTCTGGGCTGGGGAGACACTCACCACCCAGCCCGGGCCGCAGCCTGTTGTCGTAGCCATCCAGCAGCCCGTCCAGGATCCTGGTGAATATGGTGATGTTGTCATTGGTCTCGTCTTTTCCAGAACTGGTTGGCATCTGTGACAAGCTTTGTGGAAGGGAAACAAAAGAAGAGTTAAACCTGCTTTGCTTCCTCGAAATTCTTCCTAGGACATGAAACTGGGAATCACACAGAGACTCGTCTTAGGGGGAGGGCAAGGGACCCCTAGACTGCCAGGTCACCCTGTGCCTCCACCAGCCTTAGAGCTTGAACAGTCTCAGCTCTGCTCCAGGCCAAATGTTCACCAACCCACCTCAAATCTCCCACTCAAAATCTGTCCACCCCCTGATTCTGAGAACTGTTTAGTTTTTTATATTTTGCAAAGCCATCAGGATTTTATTAGCTTGATATTTCAAAAGGTTTTTTTAAAAATTAAAATAAACATATATTGTTTGGGTAAAGTAATCCACTCTACCTCAGCATTCTAAGTCACTAGAAAGTCTTGATTTCGACAGTATTATAATCTATGACAAGGTAACTATTTATTATGAATGTTTTATTGTTTTTGAAACGAGGTAGCCACAGCACATGAACTAGCAGAGTCTAACCCACTCCCAGGAGACTTTAGGAAAGCCCAATCTGCACGTCACAAGGGACCCACCTGTAGTGGGGCTGCAGTGTGAAGAGAAATAGGGAAAGTCTTTGCCTAAGTTAAAAGTAAGGCCATGTGCTCCAACCCTTTGTACCCTTAGCTGGAATGGAAGCCTTTTTTTAGGAAGAGATGATTATAACTTATCAGAGTGTCATGTCTTCGGGCATCCTTCTCTGACAGCTGATGACCACGTTCTGTGTGACCAACATGTCACAGTCACCGTATAAGCACTTGGAAGAGCAGACTGACTGAAAGTTTAGGAAAGAAACCAGAAGAATATCCCGAGCGTATTCAATAGAGTGAAGTTATGCAGGCTGCAAAAGCTTACTAAAGATGGAGTAGCTGGAAAGCAGACTTGTCTGCTAGATGCACTCAAAGAAAATGACCAATTCCAAGACCTGAGAGTGGGGTGGGGCAGCAGGCACACCCTGTTCCTCACCTTAACATCTGCACTGAGCAGATGAGAACACAGAAAGCTGTTGAAGGGAGATTTACCAGCCCAGAAGGCAGGGACACAGCTGAAGAGCACAAAACCAACCTCTGCTCCTTGCAGACACCCTCACTGGCAAACGTCTCTTGACCTATAAACTGGGCTTGGCTGCAGGGGCTCAAGGAAGACTTCCTGCACGGAAAGCCAACTGTGGCTTCCAAGAAAGCCAGCTCTTTGGCGCTCGGAGAGAACAAGTGATTCTTGGTGCCTTCTTGAACTGCCTGGTTGTGAAGTCCAGATCTGCTTAAGCACTTTCTCTTCAGGGGTGAAATCAGAGCCGAGAGCTGCTCTCCATCCATCCGCTGTGGGATGCTGAGGTCAGAATTGATGTGTCCCTACTCCACCCAGTTCTTGAAAATTGGTCATTTTTATTGATTGCATCTAAACACATCAATTCTTTACTGGCCTAAAGCGACTGTCTTTTGGGCGAGAGGGGATAAATTTCTTTTGATCTAATTTCACATTGCCATTAAAACCCATAAAGTGGAAACTCTAACAAGCCGAAATTCAGTCCTGGGTTCAGGGTCCACAGACATACGATTTTATTTAAAATCCTTTTTTTGTTTTACCCTTCAGAAAGAAAAAGAACTAAACCTCACACAACCTTGGTACCATCGAGGGCCACATACGAGAGAACATTAAATCTGTGCTTGCTCAGTTGTGTATCGATGGATAAACCAAGTCTGGCCTTGTGGAGCTTTTCTCATGGTGTTCACAATGGCCAAGAGTTTCATTACCCAATTTAAGGTCATGTCCGGATGCCTAATTTTTGGAAGGTCTTTGCTGCCTCTTTAACTTAGAAATGGAGATGAAAGAACACACACTAGTAGAAAAATCAGAGTAGTCCTTTACGTATGGCTTCAGTTTTTGGTGTTTCAGTTATCTAGAGCAACTGTTCTACAAAAAGATTACATGGAAAATTCTAGAAATAAATGATTTAAATGGTTTAAGTTTTGTGTTATTAAGTGTTATGAAATCTGACACAGACCTGTCCACAGGATATGAGCCGCCCCTTGTCCAGTGTTTCCGTACTTTATATACTACCTGTCCGTGAGTCCCTCTGTTGCTTTCTAAATTATTAGACAGGTGGGCATGGATCACAGTGCTGTCTTCAAGGAACTTTATTTACAGAATATTCTATCCCAAAGTTCAAGAGAAGTGACATCTTATTATAGTATTATATTATTATAGTATATGGCTATAATTTTTCTGTTTTATTACTGTGGTTGTTAGTCTTAAGCCCTGCAGGTAGAGATGACAGATGGGGAAACAAGTGTCTGTATTTACAGTTGTTTTCATAGACTGTGCATCCCTGCCTGAGCTCCACTTCCTGGCAGATCAGCAGGGCCCATGGGTTCTCGTAGAGCACAAATCTTGCTGTGAACTGTACATGTGAAAGATGTGGGTTGTGCACTCCTTATGAGGATCCAAGGCCTGGACATCTGAGGTGGAGCGGAGGCAGTGATGTTAGCACTAGGGAGCAGTGGCAGATACAGCTTAACCTTGATGGAGAGGTTTGACTGCCTTAGTCATAAAAATCAATGGCTTGCAGAATTTTACCAGTAACAAGTGAGAAGCTACATCTGATGACAGGTTTTCAGTCAGCATTCAACACTTACTTTAGTCTCCACATTTCCTACCATCATTGTATTTCCCACTTCAGTTTGGGCCTCTTTCCCACACTGTCGCAGTCACTGTTTGGCAGCCCACCAGCTAACCCGAGCCAAAATGAGTAAAGAGCAAATGTCACTGGAAAGCTTTGAAAAGGGGGAAAGACCCAATCATGAAAAGCAGAAAACTCTAATACTAGCAACAAAAAGAAAGCTGCATTTAAAAGAATACACCAAGTGTCCTATGCACATCAGTTTGCTGTAACAGGGGATTCACATCCTCTAAGCTGTCCGAGTGTACCAAGTGACCATCAGCTATTCAGTGCAGCCACAAAACCTTCAGATTGCTTTGCCGTGTGTAGACCAAAAGCCCTGCACTAAAAACCAAGCCTTTGGATTTTGTCAGAGGAAAAGCAAATGAATGTGAAGAACAGAAGTAGTTACAAAAGGCCAACACTTCATCAACTGTGCCTGCAGTGATAGCATCCTTCTTAGTGGCTAACTGGATTGTTAAAGCTAAGAAGCCCTTTGTCATTGGAAAAGCGTTGGTCCTACCTGCTGCCAAGGATATTTGTCATGAACTTTTAGGAGATGCTGATGTTCAAAAGATGGCACATGTTCCCCTCTGGCTATCACCAAAAGTGTCTAAAAGAGCAGGAGATACTGTGGCACACTTGTTAGAGAGGACTAAGGAGAAACTACGGTATGCAACCTAGGTTGAGTTTACCAGCATCAGCAAAAAGGCAAGAGGCTTCTTTCTGTGTGACGTATTTTTCAGGCAGACAGGCATTGGGACACGTTCTATGCCCTTCTGTTGTCAACACACACCAGAGCTACAGAACTATTCAAGTCTTTGAATGATTATATATCAGGAAAATGGAACTGGTCATTCTGTGCTGATGTTTCTGGATAGAGTGGCTGTGGTGAAGGGGCATCTTTCTGGATTCACTGCTCAGGTTAATGAGGTTACATCTGAATGTGAGTCTATGCACTGTGTCACACAAAGAGAAATTCTGCCTAGCCATGAAATGCCACCTAAACTTAACAATGTTTTGCAGGACATAAGTTAAATTACAAGTCATATTAAATATCTGTTCTTAACTCCTCCTGTGTGTGTGCAGCACTGTGGGAGATGGATGCAGAGCAACGCACATCACTTATACACAGAGGTGAGGTGGGTTTCTAAAGGTGGATCATGGCAGAGACTCCACAGATACCTTTACGAACACTCTCACTACTGCCAGCACGTTTCAGTAACACAGAATGGGTCACCAACCTTGCTTATGTGACACATTCAACATGTTCAGCGAGCTCAATCTGTCATCTCAGGGGAGAATAACAGCTGTGTTCAAGTTGGTAGCTAAAGTGGCCGCATTTAGTGCCAAACTGGAATTATGGGGTGATGAATGAATACCAGGATTTTAGCCAATTTCAAGTATTAGCAGATTTTTGAAACACTGCTTTCTCCCAGCTGGTTCATGATCACCTATACCAGCTTTCTAAAAATCTGAGCACTACTTTCCAAACACAAAAGACCTCTGAACTGAGAAGGAATGGATCTGTGACCAATCCATTTTTACCAAACACTGTACAAAAAGAGGATTGACTGCTTAAGTTTGAGAATGGCACTAGTCTTCAAAGTTTGTTTGCGATAACCTCCTGTACCATCTATTCTGGGATAAAATCAAGGTGGAATACAGAGATTGCCACAAATGCACTGAAGAGCCTGCTTCCATTTACAGCTTCCTGTCTTTGTAAAGCAATGTTTTGTGCAGTGACAGCAACCAGAAACATGATTATGAAGTAGACTAAACAAACACTTCTAGTGTCACTGGCTCTCATCACCCTCAGATGGGACTACTTGGTTTCAGGAAAATAACCTCAAGGTTTCTACTGATTCTGCTTTACAGTGAGGTGTAGTTCATTACATATCCAAATGTAATACTAACAGCAATAAAGTATACAATGAATGTAATGCATTGCCTCCTTGGTGCATGAAAAATTGTCTTCCAAAAAGCTATTCCTAATGCTCAAAAAGTTTGGAACCTCTACCTGAGTGTATCTAATTTATAAATTAAACTTTGTCATGGGAATTATGTATCGGGAAAGACACTGAATTCAAGGGACTTGATATTATTCATCATTTTAGGAATCTCCTGGAGATCTAGAATATATCCCTTGTGGTTAGTACAGCACTACCATATCTTAATGTTTCAAGGAACATTTTCTAAGCTATTCCATTATCTGTTGTGAAAATGTTCTTACATTACATTTGATCTGCACATTCTTGGTATTAGAAGACCCAGGCTTACTGACCCTATGGACCACGGTTAAATGGTGTCTCTGTACCCCGCTT